TAGCGTAGCCTTCAGCCTCTGGCAAGCACAGTTTGCCAAAACAGAGCTGCCAACATTTCACATAATCTTGGAGTCAGATTTTGAAATAGTTTGGACAGGCAACCCTTGTCAGGGTTTGATTGAAAGCCTATAGGTGCAGCTATAGTTTGTTGGTTTTCAGAGGATTTGACTGAAACAAAGTGGCAAAATCTCGAATTGTTTATAGCACAGTAAAAGTAACTGAATAACAATAAGTGATCTGTAGCTATGTGGATTTTTTTTTCATACAATATAGCCTACATAATTTTCTATATTCTTGTAATTTTCAGAGAATTTAATTAAAGAAGAATGAGCCCTACTAAAATGCTTAGATCTTAATTATAATGTTTACTAGTGTTGCACCGATACCGATACCAGTATTGGGCAGGACCCTGATCCAGCACTAAGATGGTGGTATCGGTATCAGCGAGTACTAACAAATAGGGCACCGATACCATTTTGAGAGCCAAAAGTTTATTCATCCATTGTCACCCATTCCAGGTAGGCAATAAAACTACTGGATCGACTTTGCATTAGTCTTTTTCCTGCTTCACAAAGGTAGGCAGCAGCTTGGTAAAGCCATGATGACAATTATTTTTCATTCAAGTTGTATGCAGATCTTCATATAAACACACAAACATACATTTCAACGGATGGTATCGGTATCGGACAATACTGCACAGCCAGGTATCGGGTATCGTATCGGGGCCAAAAAATGGCATTGATGCAAAACTACTGTTAACTAAGAACTTGTAAACTTTGTTTAGTAATTATTCTATGCCGTTCAAGTAAAATAAACTATGGGGAACTAATCAGTTATTACTGAATTACTGGCACTAACACAGGAACTAGTGTAATTGAATACTGTGCAAACCACATTTGTATTAATATTTGGTAATAGGCTAAGAAATAAGAATCTTAAGCCTTTATCTTATTCGTTTTGTTTTGTTTTTTTTAACATTGACGAAACAGCTAAACAACTGAGACCTTCTAGGAGGCTGTAGAGTCTATGAAAACTCTCCATGACACAAGACCACTCTTCTCTGGATGATTCATTTTGGAAAATGTGATGTAAATTAAGTTTTTAAACATATTCAATGGACCAAAATAAGGATAAATGAATAAGATAACTAATGATAAAATAAGAACATCCCTGTGGTTCCTCCTCATCTATGAATCCTGCTTAACTGAGTTGTTCTGTACACCCTCTCTGTACTGTAAGTGGTAAGTCTTTTCTTGGGTGGCTGATCTTTTGGAAAATAACATCCAAAGGTTCTTTTTTCTTTTTTGTGGACCTGCCATGGGTTTGCAAGGCATACCTGAAAGCTTTAAGAACTTACATATTTGTGTTTGTTTAATTAGTCCAATGGGATATTATTAGATTATTAAATTAGAGTGAGCAAATATTATTTACAGCAACTTGTGAGCAAAACATGGACTAAAACTGAAACTAAATCAAGTGCCTACCGTAGTTTAGAGCAAACAAGAGGTACAGCTTACTAAAAAAAGCACTAGCTATAGAGAAAACTAACCATTTGATGTTTATTTGATGTGATCATACACTCACTCTCCACATTGATCATTTAAGATGGCTGCTGTATATGTTATTCATATTTACTCAATCACTAGATTGCTTGAAATCTTCATTAATTTACAAAGTGAATTATCTTAGTCCAGATAAGATAAGGAAAATCCAATGACACACATCAGCAATGCCGTTTTTTTCAATATCTGGCACAGTGAATAGGTAGGCTGGTGCAAAAATACAGACTGGATATGAACCTGGCAGCTCTTTTTATGTTAGCACTAAGTGTCATGTTTGGTTTGACGTGTTTGGCCCACATGAAACAGGCAGATCTTTTAAGAGATTTATTGAATGCTTTAACGAGGGGGAATCTGCTTCAGCAGCGGGAGCACAGCGCAAGGGACTGGAGGAGACAGGCTTGATCTGAGACACGTGGAAGGTTGGGTGCACACAGGAGTGAGCAGGAAATGAAGACGGGGGCTGAAGTGGGGGCTGATAGCCAAGGGAGATCTTGAAGGGGGAGAGTCCAGTTGCTCTGGCGACGTGACTATTATGGGCATACTCAATCCAGGGGAGGTACTTGTTCCAGTCCGTGGGGTTCTTGGAGGTGAGGCAACGGAGGGCGGTCTCCAGCTCCTGGTTCATCCGCTCTGTCTGACCGTTGGTCTGCGGGTGGTAGCCGGAGGTCAGAGTGTACCGGGCACCAAGGGCCACAGCAAACTCCTTCCACACCCGCGAGATGAACTGGGGACCATGGTCAGACAGAATCTCCTGTGGGATACCATGGAGGCGGAAAACGTGTTTCACCAGGAGCTGGGCCATGAGGAAAGCTGAGGGGAGTTTCTGGAGGGGAATGAGATGGCAGGCCTTGGAAATCCTCACGACTGTGAGGATTACTGTCATACCTTGTGAGGAAGGGAGACCGGTGATGAAATCCAGGGCTATATGGGACCAGGGACGTTCAGGGATAGGCAGGGCTGGAGGAGGCCGGATGGTGGTCTGTTGGAGGATTTATTTTGAGCACAATCAGGACACGAGAGAACAAACTATTTGAAGTCTTGGGACATAGTGGGCCACCAGAAACTGCAGGCGAGGAGCGTTCGGGTGCGATGGATGCCACGGTGTGCGGAAAACTTTTCGGCGTGAGCCCATTGGATTACGTGGGATCTGACAGAGGGGGGGACGTAGGTGCGATTAGGAGGACCAGTTCCGGTGTCAGGGTTCGGACTGGAGAGGTTGGGTAATGAGGTCCTGTACCTCCCACTGGAGAGCTCTGAGCACACATGTGGGGGGCAGGATTGCAGCCGGTTCCTTCACGGAGTCGGAGGGGGAGAAGAGACGGGACAAGGCGTCGGGCATCAGTTTTGCTTTCGTGGGTCGGAGTAGTTCAGGTACGGCGCCTGGGAGAATCGGGACGGCCTTGGGGTTCCAGGAGAAAGTGGTATTGACAGAGGTGCGAGCGTGGAGGGGGGCGGTGATCTGACTGTAACCCCTAATAAAGCGTCTGTAAAAATTGGCAAACCCTAAGAAGCGCTGAAGCTCCTTTCGAGTCTCGGGTACAGGCCAGTCAAGCACCGCCTTGATCTTATCGGGGTCAGATCGTACCCTACCCCCTTCCAGGATGAGTCCCAGGAAGGCAACAAAGGGCTTGTTAAACTCAAACTTTACGTCAAGGCAGAAAAGTGTATTTTCTAGCAGGCATTGGAGGACCAGTCTGACATGTTTGCAGTGCTCTATTGGGTTACGTGAGTAGATGAGGATATAGTCAATATAGACAAACACAAAGACGTTGAGGTATTCACGTAAGACGTCATTTACCAGAGCTTGGAAGACAGCAGGGGCGTTGCAAAGACCGAAAGGCATTACATGGTACTCAAAATGCCCAAGGGAAGTCGTGAAGGCTGTCTTCCACTCATCTCCCCGGCGAATCCGCACTAAGTGGTAAGCGTTACGTAAGTCCACCTTAGTGAAGATTGTGGCTGACTGAACCAGTTCAGAGGCGGAGGAGAGGATTGGGTAATTGTTTTTAACAGTGATGGCATTAATGTCAGGGTTTAGTTGTGGTTTGGAGGACCCAAATGCAGTGACAGAGAGGCTGAGGTGAATACTTTTAGTTTTAATGATGAAAATAGTTAACAAAGGCAGGAATCCAAAAATCCAACTAAAAATGTAACAGACCAGAACCATGGAGACATCAAGGGAAAACACATACAAGGAGCCAGGGAGAGACGAGGTGAGACAACAACAGCAATGACAGGACCAGCAACAACAAGGAACCAACAAGTAGTGACTGCAGCGGGGGGGTATATGTAGATGACTGAGACAATGACAGGGCTAATGAGCTGACAAGAAACAGGTGTGAGGAGACAACGACGGAGCCAAGGGGAAAGGAACACACACAAGAGGGCAACAGAGGAAAACAACAGAAAAACCTGAGAACTAACATAAATCTAGAAACTACAACAAAATAAGAATTAAACCAATAAAACTAGGAAACATGGAGTAAAGTAAAGCACAACATAACCAAAACCATGACAGTACCCCCCACTTAATGGCGGATCCCAGATGCCCTAAAATGTCCAGAAACAAAAACAACCCATCCAGGGTGGGCGAAGGAGAATCAAAGTCTCTGGAGGCCGGCTGTGGGGCCGGAGGCGAGGCAGAGTCTCTGGAGGCCGGCGGCGAAGGAGGGTCTCTGGAGGAGGCCGGTGGGTGAAGGAGGGTCTCTGGAGGAGGTCGGCCGCGACGCCATCTCTGACGAAGGAAGGCCTCTGGAGGAGGCAAAAAAAAACAAACATTTATCGTGTACACTTTGGAGTCTCCAGCTCCAGGCCCTTGCACGCACCGGATACCCAGATCCCACATCTGTAAACAAAACTTGGCTTCGTCAAATATCCCTGCTGCAGCTGCAAACCTTACTATCTCGAGAACAACACAGAGTCCCAGACTCAAACGCACAGAATACTGATCCCAGATCTCTCACAACAAACCCTGTTTGTCAAATATCCTAGCGACTAAAACTAGTTATAGCTTTCACATAGTCCCAGACCAACTTTTGATCAAAAGCTTTAGGCGTACCCTTTCTGTGCAGATCAGTCCTCAGCTTGAGTCATCACCAGGATGTCCAGGGCAGGGCTGGACCAACCTATTGGCTCCGTCCGGCAAAGGGTGGACAGTTTCTTGGCCTTGGTCCCGCACGGTCCTGGACAATTGGATCTTGACTCCCGGAGTTTTAGCACCAAAAATGTTGGGTTTTAATCCAGAGAAATGTGAGTTTAAAAGATTAAAAGGAAATAATCAACACAGAGACAGGGTTTTGTGACGTCAGCGTCTGCAGAGCGGAGAGAAGCTGCTGGCTTGGAAAACCAGCACCTTCTCACACAGATCCCTTCATGGCAAAGCCTTTTATTAAGAGTTTACAACATCATAAGGCGGGCCTAAAACAGAAGACCCAGTAATGATTATCTGGGAGGATGCAGGTAATAAGATAGTGTGAATTGACCAACTGGCTGGATGGAAGTCACACAACCGTGTGATTCTGCCTCATGACCTACAGGAGGTCATAAAAGTTTATGACCCTTCTGGTTGAAAGACAGGATAGTTATCACTCTAACAGTTGCTGTAGCTGTAATGCTATCTTAAAATCCCAACTGTGCATATGGCACAGAAAAACAAAGTACAATGGAGTACCAAGTGGTGGTAGACTGTTTTGACATATTATTTTCAACTGTTTAGGGATAAATCATTATACTGCATGTTTTTGTTTTGTATTTCACTGAACACAAACATCTTTTTTTTTTTTTACAATGTTAATTTTTCATGTGCAGGAGGAGTCTTGCTTTCAAAGGAAGCACAGCTTAGGATGGCTATGGGAGCTAAAGTGTTTAAATCAGTCTCTGCAAAGTTCTTTGAAGGAAAGATTAAAATGAAATCACTTAAACAAATTCTTCAGAAGAAAGAACAATTCCTTTGTTTGCTCAAAATAGGTGAGTAAAAAAATAAATTTCTTTTGTATAATTTTGTTTATTTTGCTCTTCTAAATGCTCAGTTTTTTATAATCTAATACTCTGCTCAAAAAAGGTGAGTAAAAAAATAAATTTCTTTTGTATAATTTTGTTCATTTTGCTCTTCTAAATGCTCAGTTTTTTTTTTTTTTTTATAATCTAATACTCTGACTTTATGATGCTTCGTTTAATTTACTATTTTTCAAAACCAAGCCTGTAATGTTTATTCTTTAGAACACTTTGGTCCCAAAAGCATTTCTCTTTCTTTTACCCTTTACAACTAAAACCTTGTTTTAAGAGAGGAGTAACACCTTGGTAGTTCAGTGCTGATGCATCTATAAGCCTGTAGCGTGATTTTCTGAATCTTCCTCCAATTGGGAGTTCCTGGTCTGCGGATTTGACGTCAAGTGCATCCATGTTAATGGGTCCAATCTAGCAAACAAGTGAACGTTGTATTCAAGATAAAAATTGTGGATACTCAGAAGCAGCCAGCACCCTGCTCAACTGAGACACCAATGGCAAGGTGAAAAAAATAAAAGAAATAACCTTGTCAAGTATGAGCGCGAGCTACAAGAAAGAGCTGAAGAGGGTTGCATTCTGTGTTTTTGCAAAAGGTGGCAGTATTGTTAAAAAAAATCCATGATGCCTCTTCAATTCCCAAAGCCCTGTTACAGGAATTTAAAAATTTTTCTGCTGGGTTCATAACTGTAAGTGAACCCCTAGTTAAACATAAAATAATTCCCTGACACACAAACATAAGTTTGTATTTCTATCGACATTAAGACTTAACTTATATAAATTTTTGTTATGGATTTATGCCTAACCCTGACCTTTATCCTAACCATTACCATTAATATATATTTATTCCAAAGTCTAACCTTAACCTGCACTTAATTAACATCAAACCTCTAAACTAGGCATACCCAAAGTCGTTTCTCGAGGGCCGCTGCCCTGCAGGTTTTAGAGGTTTCCCTGGTCCAGCACAGCTGATTTATATTGATAGTTGATTAACAGGCTTTTGCTGATATGCAGTCATCAGAACTAGCTGTGCGAAAGTACTAATCTAAACTGACTCTGTAACATTAAAAATGGACATCCACCAATTTAGGACTAACCTTTTGTCCCCACAAAAGCTGTTGGTCCTCATAAAGTTAGTAATTATATCAACAAAGGTACTTAAAAAAAAGTACTCACACACACAAACAAAGGTTTAACTACCACAAAAAGCCAATCTTTTGACATTAACATTCTGCATAAGCAGAATTCAAATTTGAGAGTTTGTCTGGGTACTATATTTTTATGCTGGTTAAGATTCTCAGTCATCCAGGTCATAGTCATTCAAAAAAATAAAAATAAAAACAAACCACTGGACTTTGTTTTCCAAGTTTGATGATGTTTTTCTTCCCATCCAGAAAGCTCTTTAAATTCAAAATGTCTGCATTTTAGACCTATCACCCTAACCACTGTGGTTCTGAAGTCCACAAGAATATTTACATTTTAGACAAAGAAGACAGGTGGTTTGAAAGGGGTGAGAAGGAAGCCATTTACGTTAAGAGAGAAAAAAAAAAACCTTTAACAGAGGGGGTGGACTCAGGATTCAGCTCTCGAAAACTTATAACGCAGCATTAGAGTTGAGTCCTTCCCACTATCATCTCAATCATCATGAACATGCAGGTGGTCAAAACATTGTGCCTTTTAAGACAGGCCAATAAAGACCCTAACAACTCCCAAATACAGAGGCATGGGCCAGTTTTGGGTTAATTTGCAGGCCAACAACGACTCCCCATTACAAATCGGTGGACCTGTTTTCAGTTCAATTTGCATGTTTTCTAAGCCATAACAAGGCTTTGGTTTGGTCACTCAAACTCAACACTTCTCCAGAAATTTTGAATTAAGAAAGCTTTCTGGATGGGAAGAAAAACGTCATCAAACTTGGTAAACAAAGTCCAGTAGTTTGTTGTTTTTTTTTACTTTTTGGGAATAACTATATTTTTAGTACTTGTTTTTTCATAGTTGCGTTGCTGTTTGTTTTCTAGATGCCCTTTGTGATGATGGACGTTGTCAAGATGAATCAACCATAAGAAAGTTTTTGAGAGAAAGGGAAGACGAAGCAAATGCTGTATACAACGAAGTAGAGTTGATCAGTGGTCTCCTACAAACCTGTCAAGACCTAAATGAACATGTCAAAGGTATGTGGCTCTTACAAGTAGCACTCCATGTAATGCTTAGGAGGAATTTTCTTTTCAGGGGTAAGGAAATTTAAGGGTTAAGGAAAATATGAGGAAATCGAATTAGAACACATAATTTTGTACCCTTGCAGTATTGATTTTTTTTTTAAGTTTTAGGGAAGCGGCTGTTCCAAACGTAATTCTCTTGAGTGGTGCCAGACTTTACACAAGTAAATAAAGTGAATGTGATTGGTCGTTTATCAAGGGGGCAGCATCTTGCTAACCAGTTAGCAACTCGTATATTTGCTGCGACATATGAATCAATATGCTTTGACAGAAAAAAATTGATTGACAGATGACAGTTGATATATGAATGACCAAATTTAGGTGTTCAAGCTGACGTATAACTAACAGGCCTGCATAAGATAACGTAAAAGAAAAAGATTTTAAGACTGGATTTTTTGTTTAAATAGAAATTTTCTAACTTTTGGGACAATATCGTCCGATAAAGAGTACATTTATATACATGTTTAAGCCAGAATGATTTGACATTTGAATATGACTTCCCTACGACTTTAAGGGCAATTACAATCACAGACTAGGTATCCTGCACTACCTTGAGAAAATGAAATCCCTACAGTCAGGTTTTCTTGATCTAAACTTTATAAAAGTCCAATTCATATAGGGGTGTATATTTTTTGCCTCCCTTAATAAGACTAATTTTAAGCATAAACTCCAGTTCCCTTTTATTGTTGCACTTAATACAACACAAAAGTATTAGGACAATTTATCCTGTCCTCAAACTCTCCCTTTATTGTCAGAAATAAGCCATAACAACCCATCAAGTTAGCTGAACTCTTTATTGTTGTCTTACAAAGAGCATGTGTGATATCATAGGTGCTTATGTTTGAAGAAGCACAGTTTTAGTCTAATACACTGAATATGTGCCAAGCATGCCAGGTGGCCCAAATCTCCACTCTTTTACTGGCATATGAGAACAAACACTTATCCATAATACTATCCATAATGTGGTAGTGTTTATTTTTTCAATTAAAAAAACTACCTGTTTTTTTGCAACTTCTTTTTTTTTTCAAAGATATTTTTATTAGAATTTTCAGTTAGACATACAAAAACAAACATACACACACGCTGAAACAGTTTTTTTGCATCTTCTAAACTGCTACCAATACATTTTGTAAACTGAATGATGGTGGGACAACAACATGAGAACAATTCTGAGAGCCAAATTATGGACATCCTTTTGGAAAGTAAGCTGGGTTTGGAAATCATTTGAACCATCCAGACACTTTAAAATCAACTTTTTGAAACGAACCCTGTCTGTGTTGTAATGAATCATGTGTGTGTTCAAAGATATTGGGGCATTGGGACATGTTCAGATTTCCCCATCAGCAACAACACCATCTGGATTAGGGAACCACTAGGGCAAACTCTAGTTAAAACACAACCTGAAGAAAGTCATAAGGTTACCCAGGTGGCCGCTGCTTCCTAACCTCTAACCCCAACCCTTGATCACTAAATTGAGAAGGACATAGGGTAATGCAGGTTTTCCCTAAAGATGACCAGACTGACAATGGCTTTGTAGGTGCCACCCCATATCTGCCACACCAACCTGAAGGCAAGCTCTAATCCTTCAGAAAGCAGATATTCATATCAGAGTATTATTGCAGGCTTTCTATCAAGTGGAAAATATAGCCAGTCAGACCTCTTTTTTATTTATACAACTGCACAGGTAGAAACATAACAATAAAGTTCGCATTAAAATGAGGTACGGTAATTCCTCATCCCAATGTAGTGTAGTAAAAATGGAGATGATAAACGTCAATCATTCATGCTCTGAGAAGTTGTGTAACATGAAAAGGTTTTGTTTCAAGAAAATCTTTAAATGATTTAAGCACATAAAAGAATCTGTGCATACCATATGCTAGCACTTTACATGCAAAGTGATCATCCAAAATTAATATCTTGTATCCTGATTTATGATGATGTTATATTATTATTTATTTTCAATCTTTACATATTTTTTAAATTGCAGTTGACTACCAGGGGCTGGACAAAAAACATCAACAGAACTTTGACATAATGGATTTGAATGAATTTATGAACGTGGCTACACTTGAAAGCAGCACACAGGCAACAAGGAAGGTCACGTACTTCGACCTTTCTGATACCATACATAAAATGGCTTCAGAACTCCGTGAGATTAAAGACACCATGATCTTCAAAACGTGCTGGGCCAACCAAGTGAGAGAACTGTCAAGAAAACACTCTGAAGAAGATGGAACAAATCACAGTAAAGAAAAGGAAGAAGCCTATACCCTTGATCTTGTCCATAGTAAAATATACCAGATTTGCTATAGCCAGTATAAAACGATTTATGATAATCTTAAAAGTGGAGAACTGTTACTCAAGGAAGTTGACAACGTCTTTCAGGATTACAAAGGAAAGTATGAAGACCTATACAAAGATTTAGCAATAATGTGCAGGATTAACCCATCTGATGACAGAAAATGGATTAAAGAAAGAATCACACAGATTGAGCAGTACCATGATCATCATTTGGTAATAGATTCTGCCAAAATAATCATGGGCATCAAAGATGCACTCTGTCCAGAAGGAGATTTCAACATCCTGGAGAAATTGATGCAAATGGTAGGTTTCTTCATGTCTATCAATATGCAGTGTAATTTATCAAAGCTGAAACAAATTGCAGATTCAGGCACTGTACCTATATATATCATGTTGGAAAATGCAGTTCAAAACTCACAAATATTTAAGAAGTTATAGTAGTTTAAGTGAAAGAGCATGTTGACATATTTGAACTGACAGAAATTAAATTACTACATATATATTGTCTTTCAAACAGTGATATCTTTTTTACTAGATGGGTTGGCTTGGAGCCAGTTACATATAGAAGCCATACAAGACCTGTGGAAAAATTCCTTGCAACACGCCATTTTGTTGTGTGGACATGGGTTATTTCAGTACGAAAGTGGCATATCTTATATCTGTTTTTCTGGTGTAACTTCTGGCAGCACGGGATGAATTTCAGAAGTGGGGAGACCTTAGAGTAATGCATCACTTGCACTTGGCAGAGCTTACCATTCACAATAATCAGATCAAGCAGAAAAGTAGCATGCAACATGATTATCGTTTAAAGAAGATATCATTTATGTAACAAACTGCAACCCTGATGAATATGAATGTGTTCTATTTCAATTAAGAAATAGAAATTAGTATGGCAATAGCAGCTGCTTTCACTCATCTTTCTTGTTATATACTATTAATTCTTTAGAAACAATGGGCTTACAATGTACCACTCGAATGAACAAATTAGTTCTTAAATCGTTTGATTGAGTTTCTGCTAAATCGAGTGATTTAGCAGAAAATGTCACATTCACCTTTATTACGCTATTTCTTAGGTACGAACAATTTTACAAGTGCTCCAGACTTGACTTATTGGTCCTTTAATTCTGCTGGTCAGCTCTCAGTCAGCAGAACCTCCATCTCAAACAGTAAAGTGTTTCTTCTTCTATGCCAAGTGTGGAAAGTCATAGGTTTACACGGATCATTTATGATTTTTTTTTTTTTTTTTTGTTAAAAACATTTGTTGAATCTGAAGTGGCGCATTTGTAAAAACCAACAATAGGAAAAAAAGTAAGAGAGATTTGCGATAAGAATAAGATCATGTTAATGCATGAGGTCTAATGATCGTAAGTAGTAGGAAACAAGATAAAATAAAAGCTTGGTCTTCCATTTTGTAGCTATTGATTGATTGATTAGTTGACTTTATTGATCTCACAGTGGAAATGTCCCTGTTACATTGGATCAAATAGTCAAAAAGAAAACGTTACCTAGTAAGACAAGGTACATGGGGCGGATATATACAGTATATACAGTGCATCCATTTTTATTGCACAGGGTATTTATATATATTGGTATTTATCTATAAAACTATGCACTGGGTAATATAAAGCAAAAGTTTATTACACAGGGTATGAAATAGTAATTGCACATTGCACAAGTTATCGCCGTTGTAGAGTTGCATTATATAGTCTGGTGGGGCAGCGATAAATGACATGTGGTAGCGCTCCTTTTTACAAACAGGGTGGGTGTAAAGTCTTTCACTAAAGGAGCTGCTCAGCACCTCTACAGTCCGGTGCAGACGGTGAAAGGTGTTGTCCATGATGGATGTAACAACATTTTTTCATACCCAAATGAAAAAACAAATAACTAAGGAACTGTGAGCCCCAATTACATGTGTGATACATCATTTGAAAGCTAACGCAAAAGTTTGAGAAAGTAAGTCTACTTGCTTTTCTGATTTAAAAAAACAGATGTAATGTGGCCATTTTCTTATCACGGAATATTCCTGTTATGAAAATGCTGGATTACTTTTAATCTGTGGACGCTTATGGACAAATTGAATATAAAGAATTGAAGATTGAATTTACAATATGGCTTCAGGACGCCTTCAAATGTATGTTGTTGCAGCTGCTTTTTCATATTTACATTTTACCCTGCAGCTATATCTGTGTTAATTGTGCTTTGGGGCTCGCTATGTCCATAAAATGAACTTGGTGGTTGAATTTTGGGGAACATAAGCTTTCTAACAATATCTAACATGTCTATATTGATAAAGGTTTAACCACTGTTATTTTCATGCCTTCCGAGTTTTTAGGTCGAAATATATTAAACCAGTCGCGGCAACAGGCCTCATGCAACATTTTTATGTTCTCTTTTTTTCCCCTACTGTTATCGCCTACGAATGCACCACATCAGATTTGACAAACATTCTTAACTTTAGTAAATGACAATAATTGATCTTTATTAACATGCATCCACCTGTGTGTAAGTGTTCGCACGTTAATAAGAATTGAAAATCTGCATAACTACCACACAGACAATTCAATATAAGGTTACCACTTGGCAGATGGTGATTATTTACAGAAATAGTATTGAAAATGAAGAAAAGAGACTCTACCAGTTTGAAGATCAAGGTTCTAATGACTGAGAGCTGAGCATACATGTACTGTTCATCTCCAGACCACGTCTGTTATCTCTTCATACCAAAAAAGTAAAACAATCACCCGTGTGTTTTTGGTCCACTCTATAAAGCGTTAAACTCAATGCTATTTATTACACTTTCAATTGAAAAAGCTTCCTAAATGGGGAGAGAAATGTCTTCAAACTTGGAAAAAAAAAACAGTCAAGTGGAATGTTTTTTTTTTTTTTTTTACTTATTTTGGAATGAGTAGGCTATGACCTGGATGACAGAGAATCTTCCTCAGCTTAACTCTTCATAGCACTCTTCATCTCTCTCATGCATTAGTATAAATATGGTAATGGCAAAACTCTAATTTGAAACACAAATATAGACGTAAACATAATAGTAATTACACATGTGCGTCTGCAGTTGTAAATTTTAGCTTGTAAAGTAAAACTTTTTTGAGAGAAAAGAAACATGTAATTCAAAAAGAATGTGTACGACTTGT